AGCTCCACTTGGCCTTTTGGCTATTCTAACAGGCTCATCACACTCCTGCTCGCCCGTCTCTATCTCAGAGCTCTTTCCAGGGTCGGCCTGGCTCAGTGCTTCTGCTCCTGCAAGTCTTTTGCTCATCTGTCATCTCTTGGGAGGCCTTTTATCACCCATCCCAGCACCCTCTTCTCTTCCCTGCTTTTTCGTTTTTGTTGTTGTTTCTGACACAAAGTCACACTCTATCACCCAGGCTGGAGCGCAGTGGCAGGATCTCAGCTGACTGCAACCTCCACCTCCTGGGTTCAAGCGATTCTCCTGCCTCCGCCTCCTGAGTAGCTGGTTCTACAGGTGTGCGCCACCATGCCCAGCTAATTTTTGTATTTTTAGTAGAGACGGGGTTTCACCATGTTAGCCAGGCTGGTCTTGAACACCTGACCTCAAGTGATCCACCCACCTCAGCCTCCCAAAGTGCTGGGATTACAGGCATGAGCCACTGCACCCGGCCTCCCCTGCTTTTTTTCTGTAGTGCATTGAATCATCTGACAACTTATATTGTTTACATTCTTTGTTTACTGTTTCTCCTCCTTTAGAACTCTGGCTCACTGCTTTATCCAGAACACTTACAATTCAATGAATATTATACCTGTGGGAAAGGGGGAGGAAGAAAGGGAGGAAGGGGATAAAAAGGAAGGATTAAAACTCTTTCAAATTTCCCTGTTTTCATAAAACAGCACTGCTGAGCTGCCGAGCTCCCTGACAACCTTGGCCGCTTCCACGTAGCCACGTAGGCGAGGACTGGCAGAGATTTCCTGGGAGCAAACCTTCCCTATTCTTTTTTTTGGCTGAGCACTGGGGGCTTTATTGATGGTACACAACAAGGTGGGGCTCCCTAGGCAGCTCCCTCTTCAGGGGGTCTGCGTGGGAACCATGAGGAGGGGAGATTCTCAGTGTGGTGGGGCTGAGTGGGGCAGGGACTCCCCAGCAGTGAGGGCCTCTCTCTGGCTCTCGTGCTCTCGCTGGGCTGGTGGTCCAGGGGTCTTACTCCTTGGAGGCCATGTGGGCAATGGGGTCCATCAACCTGTTGCTGTAACCAAATTCATTGTATCAGGAAATGTGTTTGACAAAGTAAGTGGTCATTGAGGGCAATGCCAGCTCCGGCATCGAAGGTGAAAGAGTGGGCGTCACTGTTAAAGTCCAAGGAGACGACTTGGTGCTCAGTGTAGCCCGGGATGCCCTGACTGGCCCTCTGATGCCTGCTTCACCACCTTCCTGATGTCGTCCTCTTTGGCAGGTTTTTCCAGAGAGCACGTGAGGCTCACGACTGACACGCTGTTGGTGGGACACAGAAGGCCATGCCAGGGAGCTTCCCGTTCAGCACAGGGAGGACCTTGCCCCCAGGACTTCCCTATTTTGTGGGAGAGTCTCACAAGGGTGTTTCTCATCCATGACCCTAGTTCAGTTGATACTAGGGCTTTCCATCTTCCCTCCTTTCTCTGAGCTCCCTACAACCTGCTCCACTTTACAATGGAGTCGCAGGCTTCTGCCTAAGTCTGTAGAATTGCTTGCTGAAGTTTAGAGTTTGTTGCTCCACAGAGTGACACACCACTCATAACATCTGCCATCTGACCTCTGAGACTAGCAATGTTGTCCATGGCATTAGAGCTGCAGGGAGCTGACATCATGTTGGTCTTGATTTTGGTGTTTTGTGAGGCCTTGGAGTTGCTTAACTGCTTGAAACTCCAGACGTTCACACTGTCTCTGTGGACACAGATATTCTTTGGAGTACTATACACTCCTAATTAGTAGAGCTTTCAATATTCATTTTGCAGTTCATCATTAAAGTTTATTCTTAGTAACTGATTTAAAATAACCGATTGTTGTTTACATAACTATTGTTATATATGATCCCACAGTCACACACACACACACACACACACACACACACACACACACACACAGAGCTAAGGTCAGAATACCATGAAGGGAAAGAAGAATCCGGTGGACAATTCCCTTACATTCTTCTATTGACTAATTTTCTTGTTGGAACCTTCATTTATTTCATCAAAAGATTGTGGCTAATGATATAATTTATTAATCAGTCTTTTAATTATTTATTTATTTGTTTTGGAGACAGGGTGTCACTCTGTTGCCCAGGCTGGAGTGCAGTGGTATGCTCAAAGCTCACTGTAGCCTCCATCTTCTGCATTCAAGCAATCCTTCTGCCTTAATCTCAGGAGTAGCTAGGACTACAGGTACACCCACAACACCCAGTTTATTTTTTTTGTATTTTTTGTACAGACAGGGTTTCATCATGTTGCCTAGGCTGGTCTTGAACTCCCGAGCTCAAGCAATCCTCCTGCCTCAGTCTCCCAAAGTGCTGGCATTACAGGTCTGAGCCACCACAGATGGCCATCACTCAGAATCTTAAATCATTGTCAAATAATGGAAAGTATACAAATCAAATAGTAGTCCAATTCTAGAATTAATATAAAAGAACGATCTAATATTCAAAGAGCAAACATTTTACAGGATGAAACAACTGTCATTAAAAAGTAAAACTGGCCGGGTGTGGTGGTGCACATCTGTAATCCCAGCACTCTGGGAGGCCAGGACGGCAGCATTGCTTGAGCCCAGGATTTAATACCAGCCTGGGCAACATGGCAAGATCTAGTCTCACAAAAAGTACAAAAATTAGCCAGGCATGGTGGCACGTTCCTACAGTCCCAGCTACTCAGGAGGCTGAGGTGGGAGAATCACTTGAGCTTGGGAGGAGGTTGCAGTGAGCTGAGATGGTACTACTGCATTTTAGCCTGGGCAAAAGAGCAAGACCCTGTTTCCAAAAATGAAAAAAAAAAGTAAAACTGATTCCTCAGTATAGGATATCAAATATGTAAAGTAATAATTTGAGAAACACGAAAAAGTGTTATGTGGAAAGAAAATCAGATTTAATCTGTATTATTTTAATGTAAACGCATGCACACATGTGAAACAAAGTAGAAGGAACGCTAAAGAAAAAAATGAGCATGGGCTGGGCGTTATGGCTCATGCCTGTAATCCCAGCACTTTGGGAAGCCAAGCCTGGTGAATCACCTGAGGTCAGGCATTCAAGACCAGCCTGACCAACATGGAGAAAACCTGTCTCTACTAAAAATACAAAATTAGCCAGGTGTGGTGGCGTGTGCCTGTAATCCCAGCTACTCTTGAGGCTGAGGCAGGAGAATCCCTTTAACTCAGGAGGCGGAGGTTTCAGTGAGCCAAGATTGTGCCACTGCATTCCAGCCTGAGCTACAAGAGCGAAACACATTTTCAAAAAAAAAAAAAAAAAAAAGGCGGGGGTTGTGATTGGGTCATGGGAGAAAGCGTTTTACTTTTTGGTTGTAATGTTTGCGTGATATAAGAGGCAGAGAAACTACTTTCAAAACGTACTTGTTGATTTTAGCAAAATACTTGTGAAAATTATACTGCTAGTTTTAAAATAAAACACAAGCACTAAAATAATAGAGGTTATGTTTCATTTTTATTAACTTGGTTGAGACTGAATTCACCATAGTTCAATTTATCAAGCACATAACTATGTGCCCTGCACATAACAATCATCTTAGCATACAGGATCATCTCTTCTAATCCTCACAATAGATACTATTTTTATCACTTCATAGAGGACGTTAATAAAGTTGCCTAGGGTCATAAGCTCTTCAGTGATGAAATTAGGATTTCAGCCCAGAGCCAAGTAATGTAACGGCTGATGTTTTCTATGGAAAAAATGTAAGCCAAGATAGCTCAAACTATAAATCTGGAACCTTAGGGGGTCAGAAACGCACGCACGTTTCCTTTCCATTACTTTAGCATTTTAATTAGACGCCTGTGTGTCACTATTTGTCTTTGGAAATGCAAGCTGCTTGCAATTCATCACAGCGAACTCACCAGATTCATTTTAGGAAACAGAAGCCTGTTTTTACAAACTCACTGTAATCTCTTTTTCATCTTTCTAATTGTGACAAAAATCACATTGCACTTTACCCTATGTAGTGTAACCTCCAATGACCTTTGACCAAAAGCCATATCGTTTTATTTCGTTGTGTTTGCTTTATGGCCAGTTAGGTACTTCATAGGTACTTAAACATGAAAATTGAAATCACAGAGGCCCGGCGTGGTGGCTCACGCCTGTAATCCCAGCACCTTGGGAGGCCGAGGCAGGTGGATCACGAGGTCAGGAGATTGAGACCATCCTGCCGAACATGGTGAAACCCGTCTCTACTAAAAATACAAAAAATCAGCCGGGCATGATGGCACGCGCCAGTAGTCCCAGCTACCTGGGAGGCTGAAGCAAGAGAATCGCTTGAACTCGGGAGGCCGAGGTTGCAGTGAGCCGAGAACGCGCCACTGCACTCCAGCCTGGGCAAAAGAGCGTGACTCCATCTCAAAAATAAGAAAAAAGAAAGAAAAGAAAGAAAGAAAGAAAGAAAGAAAAGAAAGGAAAGAAAGGTATTCGGCCTCTTCATCACTTGTCCCGGACTGCAGCGACTCCGATGGTAACTTGAGTCTTCATTGGTTGGAGCAGTCACAGTGGACACTGGATAGGATATTTTGGGCAGCTGTTGCTGAATTCAAGGCAACTCTTAACTGCCTTTCTCTTTTCAGGGCTCAAGATTCCCTGCATTACTGCCTATAGGCATGTGTTTTACCCAACACTCCTCCCTTTTATCTTGATTTTCGCGGTGCTGGAGAGTCCGCAGGGATTCTATGGCGAAGGGCTCACTGGGACAGGGGGAGATGTGCGTCCTCGAGGCTAAGCAAATACGGAAAAGCGAACAGAGATAGAGAGCTAAGACTCCAAGGCATTAAAAGGCAGAAATTGGGTTAGAAGAGAGAGGGGGGCACAGACTCCTCGAGAGAGACAGTCCTTTGGGGCCTCTGAACTAGGCGGTCCAAATCCTGAGCGTCTGGTTACCCGGGCAACCGCATGATCTCGCGATACCGACCTTGCGCCTGCGCACTACCGCTGTAGGGGGGCCAGTCCGGAGCTTCCACCCCGGGGCCTAAACTCGAGTCCAAAAGATGGGGCCTCGATGTGTGGTTTCTGGGCCGCGGGACGCTGTGGGCCGCTTTCCCCTCTCCAGAGTGAGCTAACGCAGGATAACGCTGCACTGCTCCGAGCCCCGCCCCGCCCCATGCCGCGTCTGGAAGGCGTGGCCGAGAAGCGAGATCTCCGCGCACGCGCGGCGCAGGCGCGCTTGGATCCGGCGCTGTCGCCCTCGGGTGACGGCGGAGTTTCCCTCTTGAATTCCAGGTATCCACGCGAAGCGCACGCCGGGCAGGAGGCCTACCCCGGAGGCATCTGGCCCGGGACTCCGCGGATTCTGGAGGCTGAGGCCCACGTGCACGCAAGACCTCCGCGGCTTCTGGGCCGCCCAGTCCCGGGACGGGCGTGCTCACTCAGAGCTTCCGCGCCTCTCCTCGGGTTCCTCTGCTGGATTGTAGCCCCGGCTGGGCACCAGGAGTACAAAGCGAAAATCCCACGCCGATCCATCTGTTCTCCACCGTCTCCAGGGAGACACGGACAACAGAACAGTTCCGTGTGCTAAATAGTAAAGCACTAAGGTACTCGATCCAGGGGCGGTGTGCAGTGGGGAGGTGAGCTTTGGGTCGGCCGTCGCCCCTCGTCCATGGCGGGATCAAGAAACCGGGAGTCACCCTGATACTTTCTTCAACTTTACTCCCAGCGGGTCACTACTGCTTCGGGATTCTACCTCCTTTTCCGACTAACATGTGTTTCTCTGCAGTCCTCTCTGCGGCGCCTGTAGAGCAGGCCACAGCCATTTCTAACCTGGACAACTCCAGGAGCGTCTGTGTTGCTCAAGGACCCTTGCTTTGCCCAGATCCACAAAGATCTATAACAATCTTTCTAATCACGACCCCTCTGTTTTAGACGTTAAAGTCGCTTCCCACTGGAAGGTTTGCAGAGGTCTTCACCATCTGGTCCTTACCCACCTTTCCTAGTTTCTCACCGTTTACTCTAGCATCTCTGCCCCAGCCACATTAACTTACTTGAACTTACTTTTTTTTTTTTTTTTGAGACATAGCAGTCGCCCAGGCTGGAGTGTAGTGGCGCTATCCCGCCTCACTGCAACCTCCGCCTGCCAGGTTCAAGTGATTCTCCTGCCTAAGCCTCCAGAATAGCTGGGATTACAGGCGCCTCACCACACCAAGCTAATTTTTTGTATTTTTAGTAGAGACAGGGTTTCACCATGTTGGCCACACACTGGGGAATTGTATAGGAATGCTGCAAGAAGCAAATAATCCATGGAGAGAGTGCTTTATACAGTGAGACACTGCACAGACACACTTGCCTTCAGCATCAGCCACCAGCCTCGTAAGTGGAAATATAAATGGAAAGAACATAACTTACTTTAGTTTTGCCAAGTGGGGTCCCTGTGGTTCTAGCTGAGCCCCAGGAAGGTAGGAAGGAAAACTGAGGGCAGAGAAAGGAATGCGTAGTTGCCTCTGGGAGATAAACAGGATTATGCCTTCTGCATTAGTAGTTTATAACATTTCCCCATTAGGCATCCCTATTCTCATTTTTCCTCAATGGATTAATATTTTTAAATTTCATTACATTTCCCTAGTCTTCATGAAAATACCAGCCAGAGAAGTCAGCTTGGGGGCCCCGATAAGGAGGCATAGCAGGGCACAGTGGCTCACACCTGTAATCCCAGAACGTTGGGAGGCTGAGGTGGGTGGATCGCCCGAGATCAGGAGTTCAAAACCAGCCTGGCCAACATGGTGAAACCCTGTCTCTACTAAAAATACAAAAATTAGCCAGGCCTGCTGTGGCAGGCTTCTGTAATCACAGCTATTGGGGAGGCTAAGGTAAGAGAGTTGCTTGAAATTGGGAGGCAGAGGTTGCAGTGAGCTGATATCGTGTCATTATACCCTAGCCTGGGCAAGAGGGAAACTGTCTCAAAAACGAAACCAAAAAAAAAAGGGAGAATGTATGCCTGCATATGTATCAAATGCTGCAGGAAGGATATTCAAGAAATTTAGGGCTCTTGGTGGGGGGAGACTTAGAAAAGTGGACATGACAGTATTATTTGAAGTTTTCATCATGAGATGACTGTTCCAGTTCTTTAAAATATCACACCTCCAAACTCCTTGCAGATTGTAAGCTCTCTGCAGGGGGATGGTGGGGCTTGTTTACTGTGAGCCCCAGGACCTAGAACACCACTTGCACACTGGAGGTGCTCAGATAATTTTTTTTTTTTTTTTTTTAAACAGAGTGATGAATTGCTGGGCTGGAGTGTGGTAGCATGATCACACTTACTGCAGCCTTGACCTCCTGGGCTCAAGAGATCCTCCCACCTCAGCCTCCCAAGCAGCTAGGACTACAGATATGCCCCACACTTAGCTAATTTATATATTTTTTGTAGAGGATTTCTCCATATTGCCCAGGGTGGTCTTGAACTCCTGGGCGCAACTGATCTGCCCACCACAGCCTCTCAGAATGCTGGGACTAAAGGCATGATCTGGCCTAGAATATTTGTTGAATGAATGGATGGAAGCCCACCTAGACAGCAATTTGGAAAACAGTAACAAGTTATAAGATTAATACCATAACAGTCACTAAAAGGTTAATTATGAACAAGTAGAAACAGAATATTTTTAATAAATGAAATGAATAGATGGAATTGCCCTATGATTATAATAATAAAACATTCACATATTGCTTGTATAGGAATAAAGACAAATCATTTGAAAAAAAAAATTGGGAAATTAAACACTGGTCACCCATAGTACTGAATTTTCTTTTTAAGGCAGGGTTTCACCATGTTGGTCAGGCTGATCTTGAACCCCTGACCTTGTGATCTGACTGCCTCCGCGTCCCAAGTACTGGGATTACAGGCGTGAGCCACTGTGCCTGGGCAGTCCTGAGTTTTTTAAAGGGATGCAGTAAAGCATTCAAAATGGGGTAAGAAAAGTGGGGAAAAATTAAATTACTTAATCTTTAAAAAGAGGATAAGTGTATACTCACCTAATTGGACTTACATAATCAGGCTTGCTCTAGCTTATCAAGAAGCAGAGTACAGGCTGGGCGTGGTGGCTCACACCTGTGATCCCAGCACTTAGGGAGGCCAAGGCGGGTGGACCACCTGAGGTCAGGAGTTTGAGACCATCCTGGCCAACATGGTGAAACCCCATCTCTACTAAAAGTACAAAAATTAGCTGGGCGTGGTGGCAGATGCCTGTAAGCCTAGCTACTCGAGAGGCTGAGGCAGGAGAATCACTTGAACCCAGGAGGTTTAGGTTGCAGTGAGCCGAGATTGCGCCATTGCATTCCAGCCTGGGCAACAAGAGCGAAATTCTGTCTCAGAGTACAACCAAAATATTCTTAAGTCATGTAATTGTAGTTAAGATGAATTTTTTCATTGTCATTTTATTTCTCGGGAGGATTTTCCAAATGGCTGCAGCTCCCCAGGCACCGGCGCGGGGATCTGTGCGTAAGACGAGACCTTTGGTTGTGAAGACGTCGTTGAACAACCCATACACCGTCTGCTGGAGCGCTCTGGGGAGCGAGGATATGCACTTCATCCTGCAGACGCTGGAGAACAGGTTTAAAGCTATTGGACTTCAGAAGATTGAAGACAGGAAGAAAAAGAACAAAACACCTTTTTCGAAAAAAGAAAGCAGACAGAAATGCAGCCTCGCTGTTGATATCAGCGAGGATCTGAAGGAGAAGAAAACAGATGCTAAGCAGCAGGTGTCTGGGTGGACGCCCGCACACGTCAGGAAGCAGCTTGCCATTGGCGTTAACGAAGTTACCAGAGCCCTGGAAAGGAGTGAGCTGCTGTTAGTTCTGGTGTGTAAATCTGTCAAGCCTGCCATTATCACCTCACACTTGATTCAGTTAAGCCTCAGCAGAACTGTCCCTGCCTGCCAGGTCCCCCGGCTCAGCGAGAGAATCGCCCCTGTCATAGGCTTAAAATGTGTTCTAGCCTTGGGGTTCAAAAAGAACACCAGTGACTTTGTGGATGAAGTAAGAGCCATCATCCCCAGAGTACCCAGTTTAAGTGTGCCGTGGCTTCAAGACAGAACTGAAGATGCTGGGGAAAATTTAGAGACTGAGCCTGTGGAGAGCCAAGACAAAGAGCTTTTGGACACTTCATTTGAAGATCTGTCAAAACCTAAGAGAAAGCTTGCTGAAGGTCAGCAGGCTTCTGTAACATTGCAACCTCTTAAAATAAAGAAACTGATTCCAAACCCTAATAAGATAAGGAAACCACCCAAAAGTAAAAAAGCTACTTCAAAATAATCGTGCATAAACTTGTCATGTCATATAGTTTGTAAAAGGACACCTATAAAGAAGCCTTGAAATTAATAAATTGAGTTATATTTACATATATTCATAGGGTCCTGTTTGGTAATATTCAAATGTGTAAGAATATTCAAATGTGTAACTATGGCACAGATATGCTGAAGACTGAAAACACTATTAAGTGTAGAAAATATTCAAAAATAGGAATATCCAAACAGAAGTTTATTGAAACTAGTGTCCGTGTGTGTATAAACTGATTTTTTCAAAGGCTGGTAAAGTGCCTGTGAGCAGGAATATCTGTGCCCTACAACACTCAGCATTTTCCTATCAAACCTGGAAAATGTGCAATAGTAAATGTTCTGGTCAGTCAGGCAGATAGAACCGGAATGGGGAAGCATTATCACTTAAAGATCCCAAATGCCAAGCAATCCCATCTTCAGAAGCAATACGTCATTTTTTACTTCATGTTAACTTGACTTTTAGGTAGGAATAGACACAGGCTAGGGAGAAAGTCTTAATATTTAGAAGAAAAGGCTGGGTACGGTGGCTCACTCCTGTAATTCCAGCACTTTGGGAGGCCGAGGTGGGAGAATCACCTGAGGTTGTGAGTGAGACCAGACTGACCAACCCCATCTCTACTAACAATAAAAAATTACCTGGGCATGGTAGTGCGTGCCTGTGATCCCAGCTACTCGAGAGTCTGAGGCAGGAGAACTGCTTGAACCCAGGAGGCAGAGATTGTGGTGAGCCGAGATCTCGCCACTGCACTCCAGCCTGGACAACAAGAGCAAAACTCAAAAAAATAGAAAAAAAAAAAAAAAATACCAAAAACATAGAAAAAGCCAGATAAGGTATCTTGACTGGGTACAGTTCACCTGCATTACGTGATTCACTTACCTCTTTGGAAATCTAACATGTATAAAAGGTATTATGGTAATTGGATGAAATGTGACCATAAGATTAAAAACACTGAGGAGCTTGGGTTCTCAGAGGTGGGTCTGTGGCAAGAGTCCTTCAGGTTAGGAAACAGAGCATAACGAATGCTCTCTGTTGAGTGCCTGCTGTTGACGGTGTGTTTGGAAAAGTTAGTTTCTGTCATTTAGAAGGGAGGTGTTACTAAAGATTTTTCCAGCTGAAAGAAAGTCTGCCTGACTCATGGATTATACCACTTCTTCATTTAAATTTTACTTAGTGCCATCTTGGCCAAAAGGAAAAAGAAAAAGGATACCTTATTGAATAGAACATTTTCATTACAAAGTATAATGCAATGAAGTATTTTAATCTACAAGACAGTATATATTGCATTTAAATTTTGTTTTAAATAGCTACTTTGTAAGCAAGCAGTTTCTCTAAAATGTTAGTAATCTGCTTCAATTGTAGAGGCAAATGTAGTTATTACTCTATTTTAAAGTGATTAACAAGTTGACAAGTTATGTAAATGTCTCTTTAAAGGAACAGTGTAACTATCACCATGAGGTAAGCTCATGACAAAATTTCCAATTGGCAATTCTGCAATTATTTGATTTTTGAGATGGTGTCTCACTGTGTTGCCCAGGCTGGAGTGCAGTAGTGCGATCCTGATTCACCGCAGCTTCCACCTCCTGAGTTCAAACGATTCTCCTGCCTCAGCCTCCCAAGTAGCTGGGATTACAGGCCTGTGCTACCACGCTCAGCTAATTTTTGTATTTTTAGTAGAGATGGGGCTTCACCATGTTGGCCAGGCTGGTCTCAATCTCCTGACCTCAAGTGATCTGCTCCCCTTGTCCTCCCAAAGTGCAAGGATTACAGACGTGAGCCACTGTGCCCGGCCGATTCTGCAATTATTTGAAAACCTACTTTGCATAAGACTTTGAGCCAGGAAAATGAGTGGGACGTAAATTCTTAAACCAGACCCTTGACTCCAGGTTAGTCAAAATCTCCTTAACTTAATGTTGGTGTCTCAAAGCATTTTCCAGTGAACGAGTACTGTTTTGTTTCTTGAAGCCTTTTTCCTGTTAGGAAATAATGCTAATGTAATTAGGGTGGAACCATCTGAAATGCCAAGTCTTTCATTGTTTCCAAGAAAGGTCCTGATTATGCACTACTGTGGGGCCCACATCGCCCTCTGGTGGTAGTCTCAGGGATGCCACAGCTGTGGATTGGTGTTTAAAATAATGGCAAGCCAAAGGAGAGTTGAACTCCTTTGTAGAGACCATGGTCAACAAAATTTCTGTAAAAGTCCAGAGAGTAAATATCTTAGGCTTTGCAGGCCACACAGTCGGTCACAACCACTCAACTCAGCTTTGTAGTGTGAGGCAGCCACAGGCAATACGTAAATGAAAGTGTGGCTGTGGCCTGGCATGGTGGCTCACATCTGTAATCCCAGTACTTTGGGAGGCCAAGGCAGTAGGATTACTTGACGCCAGGAGTTAAAGACCAGCCCGGGCAACATAGCAAGACCTTGTCTCTATAAAAAATGAAAAACTCAGCTAGGCGTGGTGCCATCCATCTGTAGTCCCATCTACTCAGGAGGCTGAGGCAGGAGGATCATTTTAACCCAGGAGGTGGGGCTACAGTGAGCCATGACTGTGCCACTGTACTCTAGCCTGGGCAACAGAGCCAGATCCTGTCTTAAAAAAAGTGTGGTCGTGTTCCCATAAAACCTTATTGAGGGACACTGGAATTTGAATTTTGTATTATTTGCATATGTCATTAAATGATGTCATTTTTTGGCTTTTTTTCCTCAACTATTAAAAAAAAAAACCCATTCTTAGCCTATAGGCTGTACAGAAACAAGCCATGGGCTGGATTGAGCCCACAGGCCATAGTTTGGTGGCCCCTTCCTGGTATAAGATATGATTGGTGTGTCACTGGACTCATAACTTGAAGGAAATACCATCATGTTGTCTAAAACAATTAACTTTTTCTGCACTGAACATCCTAGGCGCTGGTACAGTAAAGGCAGGAAATAGCATCTACTCTATGGTATCTGAGTCGAGGCCCGGCTATGTGGCTTTGGTTAGCATCTTATTTTTCCCTTGGATTACTGGCAATATAAACACACATCTGTACACCATGACAATTTGTTTTTCAAATTCTAGATAAAAACACCATAACAAAATTATGAACACTTATTTACAAATAAGACATTTTCCATGAGCGTGACTCATGACAGTTTTCATGAGAAAGTCAGCGTAGAGGAATATGTGCAATCTTGCATAAGTAATAAAAACATTCAAACGATCCATGTCCTGATAGCACAAATAAGTTCCACCAGGCATCTCTTTTGACTTTACAGCTTTTATTTCCTTTTCCTCATATATCCTTGATGTTGCAGAGAAGAAACTGATCTTTGCAGAAGAGCAGACAAGTCTCATTAGTTGCGGGCGCAGGCTCTTTCAGAGAGCATACTTAGTGAGCGCTTGCACAAAACTTTGCTTTTGAAGCAATCCACTGACCTGGTGAAGATCAAAGTCCAAACCTGTGTGTTTATTGATCTGGCAACTTCGCTTATGGAGAAATACATGTACTAGTCACCAGGATATTTTAATATTGCTCCACACTTAAATACCCAACACTTGTCGCTGAGCTACGGAAGTGTTGATTCCATAAATGTTCCCAGTGAAACCATGTAAGGTAATACCAGTAAAAAAATTTCCAGATGGGTCTTTTGTTCTGTTACATGGACAAATATATCATCACTTAAGAAACAGAAATGCAGCAGTTTGTCTCCAAACAATAGCAAAGATTTTCTTACATGATTCTGTAACTTCTATTTAGTTCATAGAAAAACAGTCCCTTTTCTAGAGAGTGGAAAAATACCTCTCTTCAAGAGACAGCCAAAAGTTTGAAAATTACAAGAATGTGTTCTTTGTAGCCTTTCATCCCTCCCACAAATGGGTCAATAGTGAAAAAAGGATGAAGTTTAACATTCTAGCTAGAAGTGTGGACAAGTGTCAGGTGGACATTTGTCCTCTTTTCTGCTTAGCGACTACTTCAATTTCACTTGAGTTGTGCTTTTATTCTTCTTTGGAATGACAGTTCCAGGCATCATTAAATATTAACAAATGATGATATCAGAGTTCTCGAAATAAAAATATCCATCTATTGTAGTACTAGTCCAACCTGAAGAGAGGGAAGAAATGGAATAGTAAGAAAAATTAGATTGCAATGTAGTACGATAGATATGTCTTTCTAAAAGCTGTCTTAAGGCGGGGTATGGTGGCTCACGCCTGTAATCCCAGTCCTGTGGGAGGCCAAGGTAGGTGGATCATCTGAGGTCAGGAGTTTGAGACCAGCCTGGTCAACATGGTCAAACCCCATCTCTACTAAAAATTAAAAAAAAAAAAAAATTAGCCAGGCATGGTGGCAGGTGCTGGCAATCCAAGCTACCCAAGAGGCTGAGGCAGAAGACTCCCTTAAACCCGGGACGTGGACGTTTCAGTGAGCCAAGATCATGCCACTGCACTCCAGCCTGCATGGTAAAAAATTTAATGGTAAAAAATTAAATTTCTTTAAAATGTCAGACAATAATGGTATACAAAATGGGATATGGAAGAAGCAATTTTATTTCTCAGGGTTTTTACCTTAAATAACCCATTACTGGTCATATTTGGGAAGTATTGAAAACAAGCAGGCAATCTGAGGATAATGTTGACTTGGGAATCCAAAGGCGCAAGACAGAGCGAGACTCCATCTCAAAATAAATAAAATAAAAGCTATCTTAAGCCTAAGTGAAGCAAGTATGAAATTGTCTAGATACATTTGTTGAGATTACAAGGGCTATATCCACTTCACTTACCTTTTCAGAATCTGTACCTGGACATCTCCAGTTGTACAGGTAATACTGCAAATTGCCATCTCCTATACCAAACTTGAGTTTTTCCAAGAATGTCTTATTTTCCATCAAATCCAGTGCATTGAATACATCAAATCCTTTCTGCCAATGTAAAAAGGATTCATAATTTAAAACAAAAAACGAGAGTGTTTTCTATATTACATATCTCACTGTAACAATTCTTCTACTAATAGCTTGACTATGCATTTATAATAGAATTTAATGTCTGTGAAGTATAGCACAGGTTAAGAATTCAGGGCCGGGTGCTGTGGCCCATGCCTGGAATCCTAGCACTTTGGGAGGCCGAGGCGGGTGGATCACTTGAGGTTAGGAGTTCAAGACCAGCCTGGCCAACATGGCAAAACCCCATCACGACTAAAAATACAAAAATTAGCCAGGTGTGGTGGCACATGCCTGTAGTCCCAAATACTCAGGAGGCTGAGGCAGGAGAATTGCTTGAACGTGGGAGGTGGAATTGTAGTAAGCCGAGATGGCGCCACTGCATTCCAGCCTGGGAGATAGACCGAGACTGTCTTTTTTTTTTTTTTTTGAGACGGAGTCTTCCTCTGTCACCAGGCTGGAGTGCTGAGGCGCAATCTTGGCTCACTGCACCCTCCGCCCCCTGGGTACAAGTGATCCTCTTACCTCAGCCTCCCAAGTAGCTGGGACTACTGGCATGCACCACTATGCCTGGCTAATTTTTATATTTTTAGAAGAGATGGGGTTTCACCATGTTGGCCAGGACGGTCTCAATCTCCTGTCCTCATGATCTGCCTGACTCGGCCTCCCAAAGTGCTGGGATTACAGGCGTAAGTCACTGTGCCTGACCCAGACTGTGTCTTAAAAAAAAAAAAAGAAAAAAACAATTCAGTTTAAAATTGTCTTATGAAGCTGGCAGTATTGCTGGATGCGGGGGCTCATGCCTGTCATCCCAGCACTTTGGAAGGACAAGGTGGGAGGACCATTAGAGCCCGGGAATTTGAGACCAGCCTGGGCATTGGCTGTAGGTGTAGGTGTAGGTATAGGACACTGTCTCGACAAAAATAAAAAGATTGGCTGGGCATGATGGTGTACACCTGTGGGCCCAGTTATGCAGGAGGCTGGGGCAGGATTATGTAAGCCCAGGAGGCGGAGGCTGCAGTGAGCTGTGACTGTGCTAGTGCACTTAAGCCTGAGCGACAGAGTGACAGCCTGTATCAAAAGGCTGATGAAGTCAGCGAGATTAACTCAGACATGCAGAATCCCAGAAATTAAAAATGTAGTATGACAGCTCCCACTGGCAGAAAATGACTTATTACGATTTCAGAAATTATTTTGTTCCTGTTTTATTTATTTTTATTTTTTTTTGACATGGAGTCTCACTCTGTCACCCAAGCTGGAGTGCAGTGGCATGATCTCAGCTCACTGCAATGTCCACCTCCCGTGTTTAAGTGATTCTCCTGCCTTAGCCTTCCTAGTAGCTGGGATTACAGGTGTGCGCCACCATGACAAGCTAATTTTTTTTTGTATTTTTAATAAAGACGGTTTCACCGTGTTGGTCAGGCTGGTCTCAAACTCCTGACCTCAAGTGATCCACCCGCCTTGGCCTTCCAAAGTGCTGGGATTACAGGCATGAGCCACGGCGCCCAGCCTTGTTCCTGTGTTAGAAGGGAACAGTTGTCAAGATGGTTTATCTCCAGGATTGTTAATTGTCAGTCTTTCAAGTCCTAACTTGGCTGAAGCTGTTGCCCAGGATGGAAGTTGTAAAGACTTTGATACTATGTTTGTCTTGGGCTGATAATGGGAAATACATTTAAGTAAAATTTTAATGGTAAAAAATTAAATTTCTTTAAAATGTCAGACAATAATGGTATACAAAATGGGATATGGAAGAAGCACTTTTATTTCTCAGGGTTTTTACCTTAAATAACCCATTGCTGGTCATATTTGGGAAGTACTGAAAACAAGCAGGCAATCTGAGGATAATGTTGACTTGGAAATCCAAAGGCACAGGTAAGAGATTTTTCTTTTAATTAATTAGTGAATTAATTGGAGACAGGGTCTCACTCTGTCACCCAGGCTGGAGTACAATGGTGCGATCTCGGCTCACTGCAACCTCCAACTCCCAGGTCCAAGTGATTCTCCTGCCTCAGCCTCCCCAGTAGCTGGGATTACAAGTGCATGCTATCACACCCAGCTAACTTATCTATTTTTGGTAGAGATGAGGGGGAGGGGGGGTGTTCCACCATGTAGCCTGGCTACAATTAAATTTTGAATTTAATTCCTTTAGTTTCAAATTCCTTTAATTTTAAAATTCAGAGACCAAATTTTATTTGGTTGAATAAAAAATTGCTTCTAGTTATTCACTCCACACAAATATTCACTCATGTATCAATATTTTCCTTATATTATGGAATCACATCTTTTTCTTATATTACTTTCCAATATTATATTATGGGCTTTATACATACATACATACATATATGTGTGTGTGTGTGTGTGTGTGTGTGTGTGTGTGTGTGTATTTTTTTTTTTTTTTTTTTTCCTGAAACAGTCTCTGTTGCCCAGGCCGGAGTGCAGTGGTGCATTCTTGGCTGACTGCAACCTCTGCCTGCTGGGTTCAAGCAATTCTTCTGCCTCAGCCTCCCAAATAGCTGGGATTGCCACACACCACCAAGCCTGACTAATTTTTGTATTTTTAGTAGAGACAGGGTTTCACCATGTTGGCCAGGCTGGTCTCAAACTCCTGACCTCAGCTGATCCTCCCATCTCGGCCTGCCAAAGTGCTGGGATTAGAGGCATGAGTCACCATGCCCAGCCTTATATATTCTTATATTATATAAGAGTTAAACATTTCTAATTTGTACATTTTGTCTTTTCTGTTAAACTGCAATAAAATTGATGATGAAAATAGCCACTAAAGTTTCAAAAGAAACTCTTATCAAAATTCTTCCTTTGACCGATGATCAATAGTTTTTTTAAAATCTTGCACACATTCCACCTGTGTGGAAGAAAACCCAGTCAGATGTCTTCTATATTTTGGCATAGACATCTGGAGAACCGACCAGCATGAACAGGAAGGAGTTGGCTTACCGATTTAGCCAGGATAAGCGCATCGCTCATGAGGTCCAGCAGGGGTGTCTCTGTGTGGATGTTGTAGAATGAGTAGGCGGCCTTGAGGCTCTTGTGAGCAGGGTGATGCATGACCGTCGAGGGGAGCGTGTAGAAGCTCAGGAAGTCAGTCAGTTTACCACTGGGGCTCTAGAAGCAAAGGTGCTGTCAGGCAGAGATCTCCTTGAACCAAGCACATTTCTGCTAACTCTGATCTCTCCCTTGTCCCATAACCTTCTCTTAGAACGCAAAGCAACAAGTCATCCTTCTTTCTCGGCAGTCCAATTTGGGTCCCCTTATATTATGCTGGGTAGAGGCCAAGAAGAGCCTGGAGTTGGAACATCAGCCTAAGTGCCTATTGGTGATTTGCGCAAACTTCTCAGGAAATAGAACGTCCTACAAGGAAAGCTTCCCTCAGGCTGACACATGAGTCAATTCTCTAGACTCAGGGAACAGTGATAAAAGCAGATTCATTGTTTTTGTAGAAATAAGAGCTTTAAGGATTAGACGGCTGCCTTCTCCAACTGAAAGATACTGTGTACTATCTCACACTTTCTTAGCATATGGCAAGAATTATATCAGGCTTAAGTGCGGTTGGGTAGAATCTGGAAGCTATTTGGAAGCCTGTGAAAGGTCTTATTATTGCATCAAAATATACACATGTGAATAACTGGAGAATTTTGCAGCAATTGGTCCGGGCACGGTGGCTCACGCCTGTAATTCCAGCACTTTGGGAGGCCGAGAAGGGCAGATCACGAGGTCAGCAGATCGAGACCATCCTGGCTTAAGATGGGGAAATCCCATATCTACTAAAAATACAAAAAATTAGCCGAGCATGGTGGCAAGCACCTATAATCCCGGCTACTCAGGAGTCTGAGGCAGGAGAATTGCTTGAATCCAAGAGGCAAGGGTTGTGGTGAGCTAAGGTGGCGCCACTGCACTCCAGCCTGGGTGACAGAGTGAGACTCCATCTCAAAAAAAAAAAAAAAAAAAAAAAAAAAGAATTTTGCAGCTATCAAAAATAAGGGGTTCGATCTCATTCATTTCATCATCACTGGCAAACTGTCCAATACAATAAATTAGCCAGTATTGTTCAGGTTGTTGTACTTAGCTGTGGTGGCCTTGCTGACTTTTAGAATACAATGTGTTTGAATTACACAGCTGAGGAGGCTGGACCACACACATGCCATTGCTAGTATTTCTTGCAGCGGAAAAGGAAATTCCAGAAGGATGTATGGTCTGGTTTTCAAATGCTTCTGAGTCATCAGATCTTTCATTAGACAGCAAAAACTTAAAGGGATTAATCTACAGAGATTCCTATTGCTCTGTATTAGCAGCTTAATATTGGAGATGAATTCAACCTTCTGGGTTAATACGGATTTTGGATTCTTCTAAGAATTTCTCACATCCGTCTCATACGCTGAGTTACTACAGGCACCTGCAGAACCTGATTAGCTTCCCCACCCCTTTTTCATCCTCTGCTTTCAGAAAACTACTCCTTCACATTCATATTGCTGGTAAAATTACTCTTTCCTCCTTTGCTGTTAAAATGGTCTGAGAATTACCAACTGCTGAGGACGAGTGGGATGATCTTTCCATTGTCCCTCAAACCCCATCAACTGTAAAGACTGATTTTAAAAAACACACTCACAAAAAACCCCAACATGGCACCATGTCTAGGTGGCTAACAGGTAACTTGTAACAACTTTCAAGAAACAAGTAATCCTTATATTACATACATTGTTCCAGGGAAAAGAGAGGATAAGCTCTTTAACTCATTCTAAGTTTGGTATCGAAATAGGACAAGGACAGGGTAAGAAGGGGAAATGAATGGCCAACCTCAGTTGTGAGTACAGAGGAAGATCCTCAATAAAATATTAGCAAACTAGTGCTGGGCGTGGTGCCTCAGCCTGTAATCCCAGCACTTTGGGAGGCCGAGGAGGGTGAATTTTCTGAGCTCAGAAGTTCAAGACCAACCTGGCCAACATGGTGAAAGCCGATCGCTACTAAAATACACAAAATTGGCAGGGCGTGGTGGTAGTTCCAGCGCCTGTAGTTCCAGCTACTTGGGAGGCTGAGGCACAAGAATTGCTTGAACCTAAGAGGCAGAGGTTGCAGTGAGCTGAGATCACGCCACTGCACTCCAGCCTGGGCAACAGAGCAAGACTCTGTCTCCAAAAAACATTTTAAAAAATTAGCAAACTAAATCTAAAAACAGAGGCAGTCTCATACAAATAGAAACCCAAAAATGTGTCACTAGCAGACATACCCTTGAGACTGGCTAAAGGAATTTCTTCAAATAGGAAATAATGAAAGAAGGAATCCTGAAGCATCAGGAAGGAAGGAAGAATAACAGAGCAGAAATCTGGGTTACACATAGTAAATTATGCTTATCCTCAAGCATCGCTATAAATCAGTGTTACAAATCATACTCGATGATTACAACCAAAATCATACTACTGTCTGATATTTAAGACAATATTTGAAAGTGGAAAAGGTAAAGTAACCTAAATAAAAGTAAGGTGACTCAAAGTAATAAATAGTGTTACCCACAGACGATGGTAAGTCACACATATATGTTGTAATACATCAACCATCATGAAAACTATACAAATACACTGAAATGCACTATAATTAAAACAGAATCCTAAAATACATTCAAATAACCCACAGCAAGGCAAGAAAAAAGAAACAGAGGCTGGGTGCGGTGGCTCAGGCCTGTAATCCCACCACTTTGGGAGGCCGAGGCAGGTGGATCATGAGGTCAAAAGAGTGAGACCATCCTGGCCAAAACGGTGAAACCCCATCTCTACTAAAAACACAAAAATTAGCTGGGCGGAGTAGCGCATGCCTGTAGTCCCAGCTACTCGGGAGGCTGAGACAAGAGAATTGCTTGAACCCAAGAGGCGGAGGTTATAGTGAGCCGAGATGGTGCCATTGCATTCCAGCCTGGTAACAGAGTGAGGTTCTGTCTCAAAAAGAAAAAGAGAAACAAAGGGCCAGGTGTGGTGGCTTATGCTTGCAATCCCAGCACTTTGAGAGGCTGAGGCGGGCAGATCATGAGATTAAGAGATCAAGACCATCCTAGCCAACATGGTGAAACCCAGTCTCTACCAAAAGGACAAAAATTAGCTGGGTGTGGTGGTGCGCACCTGTAGTCCCAACTACTCGGGAGGCTGAAACATGAGAACTGCTTGAACCCAGGAGGCAGAGGTTGCAGCGAGCTGAGATAGTGTTACTGCACTCCAGCCTGGCGATAGAGCAACACTCTGTCTCAATAAAAAGCAAACAAACAAACAAACAAAAAAAAAAACAGGAACAAGGACCAGAAGAAACATAAACCAAATAATCAAATCACAGACTTAAGCTCTAACATAGCAATAATGACCTTAAATGTAAGTGGTCTAAATATACCAATCAAAAGGAAGATCGGTAGCATGAGAAAAGAAACATGACCCAGCTACAGACTGTTTCCAAGAAACTCACTTCAAATTCAATAACATGAATAGTTTGAAAGCAAAAGGATGGAAAAAGACCAAACATTAATTTTCAAAAAGCGGGTCTGATTGTAGTAATATACAATCAAGTATACTCCAGAGCAAGGAAAATTATTACAAAGAGAGGTATTACATTATGATAAAAAGATCCATCCACTAGGGAGACATAAAGACTCTAAATATACATGTGAGTATCAAACAACAGCCCCAAAACACATCAAGAAAAATTGACAAATTGACAGTTACAGTTGTGGATTTCCACGCCCCTCTCATCAAGTGATAGAACTGCTAACAGAAAATCAGCATGGAAATAGAAAAGCTGAATAACTCAATTAATCAACGTGGTCCAGTTGGCATACATAGCACAAGCCACCCAACAGTAGTGGTATACACGTTTCACACACCCACGGAATATTCATCAAGACAGACCATATCCCAAGTAAGCATAATCGAATCAAACTAGAAATCTGTAATTGAGAGACAACAGAAAATCTCTGTTGAACAGTGCAATTCTAAGTAGGGGTAGGCTAAAAAGGAAGTCTCAAAGGAAACCAAAAAGTACATACAAGTGAATTAAAATGAAATACAACATACCAAACTACGTCAGAAACAGCTAACACAGCAAGGCAAGTGCAGAGGGAAATTTATAGAACTAAATGCTTACTAGTGACAAGGAAAGGTCTCAAGTCAGTAAGTCCCTCCCTCAAGGAACTAGAAAAGAAGAGCGAAATAAACCCGAAGGAAGGAAATAATAAACACAAGGATAGAAATCAATGACACTGAAAATAAAAACACAACAGGGATTATCCAACAAAAGTCTGGTTCTCTGGGAAACAAATCAATAAAATGACACAAGTCTAGCAAGATTGACAAAAATAAAGAAAGAGAAGACATGAATCACCAATACCTGGGATGAAACAAGAGATATCAGTACAGATTTCACAGCCACTAAAAGGATAAGAAGAGAATACAATCAACAGCTTCACACTCATACATTCAGCAATTTAGGAGAAATGGACAAAATCCTCAAAGACTATTAAAACTCAACTACAGTGAAACAGATCATCTGAATAGTGCTATAACCATTAAAGACATTTAGTCCATTATTTAAAAACTCCAGCTAAGCTCAGATCATTTTAACTGGAGAATTCTACCAAAGAATTAACACCAATTCTCAATTTCTTCCAGAAAATAGAAGAGGAAATAATACTTCCCAACTCCTATTATGAGACCAGTATTATCTAGATATCTAAACCAGACAAGGACATTACAAAAAGACACTCCTGATAGGTAGCTCTCATGAACTCAACAAATACTCTTCCAAATATTAGCAGTCAGTACAACAATGTATAAAAAGAATCATACACCCCGACCAAGTGGATTTTTTTCTAGGAGTCTAAGAGTGATCCAACATCTGAAAATCAATCAATGTAATCTACCATAGCAACAGATTAAAGGAGAAAAATCATATGATTACATCAATTGGAGCATTGGACAAAATCCAATCCCCATTCATAAGAACCCTCAGCAAGTTAGAAACAGAGGAGAATGACCCGAAATTGATTAGGAGCACCCATAGAAAACTTATAGCTAACATCATATCTCATGGTGAAACAGTGAATGCTTTCCTCCCACCATCAAGAACAAGATGAGGATGTCAACCTTCCCCACTCGTACTCAACAAAGCATTGGAAGATCTAGGTCCTGCATTAATGCAAGACCAATAAAGGCATAGAGATTGGAAAGGAAGCGATAAAACTGTCCCTATTTGCAGATGACACATTGTCTATGTAGAAATCCCAAGGAATCTACACATAAACTCCTGGAACCAATAAGTGATTTCAGCACTGTGGCAGGATACTAAAACACAGAAGAAAGCATGTCTACACGCTAACAATGAACATGCAGAAACGGAAATTAAAAATGCAATACCATTATTATCACCCCAAAGGAAGTGAAATACTTAGCTATACACTTAAGAAAACATTTACAGTATCTGGATGTCAGGTCTCCATATGCAAGCCTGGAGCCTGAAAGTCCGAAGTCCTGCTTGCCTCAGCTGAAGTCTCCTATCCGCTGTCTGCGTTCACCATTGTCCCTGATCGCCCAGCGGAGCTTCCCCGGATAAGCCCCCCACCCAGCCCTGCCATCTTAACTGTTCTTATGATAATGTAAATACCTCTCACCCAACCCCACCACTGTAACTGAACGTACTCTGCAACACCCCCCCGCCCCCAAAAAACTACCCAAACCTATAAAACCAACTCCTATCCCACTGCCCTTTGCTAATGCCCTTTTCGGCCTTAGCCACCTGCACCCAGGTGAATAAACAGCCATGTTGCTCACACAAAGCCTGTCTGGGGGGTCTCTTGATTCAAAGCATGCATTTTTCACACTGGATGCTCTTAGAGAATACTGATAAAAGAGATTTCAAAGACTGAAATAAGTGTAGAGACATTCCTTGTTCATGGATTGGAAGACTTTTCAATTATCCTCAAATTCATCTATCAGTATAATGTAATCCCTATCAAAGTGCCAGCAAGGTATTCTGTAGACAAAAATAAGCTTATTCTAAAATGTATATGCAAAAGGCAAAGGAAATAGATTAAAATGATGTTGACAAACAAGAATAAAGTGGGAGAAATTACCTTATACTAAGGCTTCCTATATAGCTATGGCAACCAGGTCAGTGTGGTATCAGTGAAGGGAGAGACATGGAGATCAATGAAATAGAACAGAGAACCCAGAAACAGAACACAATATAAAGCGTTAGTATTCAGCACATCAAAAACCTCTCACAGGCCAGGCATGGTGGCTTACACCTGTAATCCCAGCACTTTGGGAGGCAGAGGCAGGTGGATCATCTGAGGTTAGGAGTTCGAGACTAGCCTGACCAACCTGGTGAAACCCTGACTCTACTAAAAATACAAAAATTAGCTAGGTGTGGTGGCACATGCCTGTAATCCCAGCTACTCGGGAGGCTGAGGCATGAGAATTGCTTGAACCTGGGAGGCGGAGTTACAGTGAGCCAAGATTGCACCATTGCACTCAAGCCTGGGCAACAAGAGCAAAACTCCATCTCAAAAAAAAAAAGCCTTTTACAAATCAGTAAGAAGACTGTGGTCACAAAGTAAATAGCAAATTCAGAAAAGAAATAAACATGGCTGGCAGATTTATGAGATACTCAAATTCATCAGTAATGAGGATAGCAATTAAAAACAAGACTTTGTTCCATACTCATCAGGTGGGCCTAAATTTAGAATGTGACCATACCCACGTGTTGTGAGGATGTGAGGAGACAGGAACTCTCTCATGCTCCTCAGGACCTACAGTGGTGAGCTATGTGGCAGCTTCTAATAACGTGAAAGACAGGTCTGACCACAGACTCAGCAGTTCCAATTCTATGCCCTGGGCAGCAGCTCTCAACATGTGGTCTGTGAACCCTGTGGAACCTGAGACTCTTTCAGAAATCTGTGAGGTCAAAATTATTTTCATAACACTAAGAAGTTGTGTGCCTTGTTGACGTGTTGCCATCAACATCAATGGCGCAAAAGCAATGCTGTGGGTAAAACTGCTGGTGCCTTAGCACAAAACAAGACACTGGCACCAGACTGTACCCGTGGTCACCTTATTCTTCAACACCACCCTAACAGTTCCACAAGTGTCATTTTCACTTAAGCACATCCTTGACAGAGTATTAAAAATTATTAATCTTATTAACTCTCAATCCCTTAGTACCCACCTTTGTTTTTTGTTTTGTTTTTTTTTTTTGAGAGGGAGTTTCACTCTTGTTGCCCAGGCTGGAGTGCAATGGCAAAATCTCGGCTCACTGCAACCTCTGCCTCTGGGGTTCAAGCAATTCTTGTGCCTCAGCCTCCCAAGTAGCTGGAATTACAAGCGCATGCCACCATGCCTGGCTAATTTATGTATTTTTAATGGAGACGGGGCTTCACCACGTTGGCCAGGCTGGTCTCCAACTCCTAACCTCAGGTGATCTGCCCGCCTCGGCCTCCCAAAGTGCTCGGATTACAGGAATGAGCCACCACACCCGGCCTAGTATGCATCTCTGTAATGTTCTGTGATGAAATGGAAGGAAGTATGTGTAAATACTTCTGCCGCACACCGAACACAAAGGATGCTTGGAGGAGAAGTTTTATGTTTATCACCTTGTCTTTACCTCCACTACAAACGTGTCAATAATGTGCTCGCGGGGGAGGAACCAGTGGGCTACTTCCTCTTCATCCATCACTGGAGCCAGGTGAAACTGCTTCAGGTAAGTGTTGGTTAATTCTCGAACTGATTTGATATCTTTTGGTTCCATCGGTCTCAAACCTGAAGTCTTTGTAACCTTGTTAGAGGAAAAACAAAACAAATCCAGAAGTTGTGTAGAAGAGGAATGAAGCTTTGAGCGCTTTGTGCTCAAAGCGTGGTCTGCAGACCAGCAGAATAAGCAGTACGTGGGAGCTTGTTACAGCTGCAGAGCCTGGCCCTGCCCCAGTTCTAATGAATCACAATCTGCAACTCAACGAGATTCCCCTGGGATTTGTACACACATTAAGGTTCGAGAAGAACTGGGTTAAAATACAGGTGAGACAGACAAAGTATTGTATCTTCTTATCTGTGTGGCAACTCTTTGGTCAGTATTGCCCGTGGCCCAAACAAAATCAAAGGAAACACTACAAATTCATTATGGACTCCAGCGTCAAGAATACACCGATATATACATCAATGCCAAGAATGTCAATAGCCTACTTGATGGGACATAGCAATCTCAGCATGACTTCTGGAGGACAGGCTGCCCTCCGTATCCATTGGTTGTGCATCTGTGGGTTCAACCAACCTTAGCTGGAAAATATTCAGGACAAAAAGAACTGGAGAGTCGCATCTGTACTGATCACGTACAGACTTTTTTTCTTGTCATTACTTCTTAAAAATGCAGTGTAACAACTACTTACATAGCATCTACATTGTCTTTGGTCTTACAAGTAATCCAGAGATGATCTAAAGTATACAGGACAGTGGGGCGTGGTGGCTCACGTCTGTAATCCAAGCACTTTGGGAGGCTGAGGCCAGTGGATCAACTGAGGTCAGGAGTTTGAAACCAGCCTGGCCAACATGGTGAAACCCTGTTTCTACTAAAAATGTAAAATTGGCCAGGTGCAATGGCTCACTCTTGTAATCCCAGCACTTTGGGAGGCCGAGGAGGGTGGATCACGAGGTCAGGAGATTAAGAACACCCTGGCTAACACAGTGAAATACAAAAAATTAGCCAGGCATGGTGGCACGCACCCCTAGTCCCAGCTATTCAGGAGGCTGGGGCAGAAGAATCATTTGAACCCGGGAGACAGAGGTTGCAGTAAGCCAGGATCTCGCCACTGCACTTCAGCTTGGGCGACAGGGTGGGACTCCATCTCAAAAATTAATCAATCAAGGCCTACAGGAGGATGTGTATACATTATATGCAAATACACAAATGCTCTACCATCTTATATAAGGGACTTGACCACCCACACAGATTCTGGTATCTGAGGCTCCAAGAAGCAAGCCTCATGGTTTCTGAGGGATCAGGCTTTAAAACAGCCAAGTCTTACATTTTGAAAACACAACTGAGCGACTTGTTTTATTATTCAATAGCCCATGAAAAGCGTGTGATTTTGTAAATCATATCGGGCTGGATAAGAAGGCAAGCATTTTTAATAGCCAAGTATTTTCTAAAGGCAAAGGGGTTTACGGCCATACCACCCTGAAAGTGCCCATCTTGTCTAACAGCAAATGGCTGCCAGGCAGCCTGGCCTTTCCTGCTGCATCTTCTGGGTAAAGGTGATCAGGGTGGGTGTTTAATCACTACTCCAGAGCTCTACAATTTAAAAATTAAGCCATAGGAATCAAAAGCCTAAAAGTCAGGACAGGTCCCTATTTGAATTGATTCAACTGTTGTCCTCATCAAAGCTCCTGACATCACTTGGCTCTCCAGAACTGTTCAGGGCCAGGACACTGGAGACTAGAAGTCAGGAAGCCCAAAAAACAGACAATTTTGAAACTGAGAAATACAGGTTCACTTTTTTCTGTAAACCTCAATTTCACCCCCACCCCCAGCTTGGAGAAATACTAGATACATTCTAAGAGATGAATAACCTGTAAATAAATATTGCTACTCTCACGAAAAACTTCCTGTAGAATTAGGTCATCACAATCCCTGCATGCCCCCAGGTGGAAGCCCAAGGGGGAAACCAGGGTTTCGTTTTTGAAATTGAGTCTCTTGTCGCCCAGGCTGGAGTGCAATGGTGCAGTCTTGGCTCACTGCAACCTCTGCCTCCTGAGTTCAAGCAATTCTCCTGCCTCAGCCTTCTGAGTAGCTGGGATTACAGGCATGTGCCACCATGCCTGGCTAATTTTGTATTTTTAGTAGAGACGGGGTTTCACCATGTTGGCCAGACTGGTCTCGAATGCCTGACCTCAGGTGATCTGCCTGCCTCAACCTCCCAAAGTGCTGGGGTTACAAGTATAAGCCACCGCACTAAGTCAAGGAAAAAAGATTTTCTCTTGAGTGCCAATTCTCATCAACTATTAGCTGTGCTGAGCTTTCTAAGCTTCAGCGACACACTGTGCTGATTGATTATCGATTAGCAGGGGAAAGGGGAGTGGGAGACGCATGTGCTGTATTTACAGAACAAACAGTCCTCAGCTGAATATTTACTCTGAGCCATTCTATTATGATTTATGTCATCTCTAAAGCACTGCAGCTAAAATACCATTTAATAATTTAAATGTAGAGAATTTAAGTCCTTCGCATTGAACAGGCAGCTCACACCTTAGTGTTTTGGTAGCTTTCAAAGCCAACGTGTCAAATGTCCAGGTCTCCACTGGAAATAAATCAAATAAATAAGCACTTCTAAATGTTAGTGGGAACACCAAAAACATATAAAATATATACTGCAGTCATCTGAAAAATTAGTTTCTGCTATGAGGCAGACTCAGTTTGATAAATTTCAATTAGCCTTTCTCAATATCATAATTTTTTTTCGTTACTGGTTCAATATCAAGCAGTTAGATGAAATTAATGAAAGCCACAGGATATATGATATCTGTTAATAGAGAGCATTCAGAAATAAATTTAAAAATTGCCAACTTCCTTCTAGAGCAAAATATTCTTCTGGAGCACAGATCTCATTCACTGAATATCCAACTGTGAAATCACTAAAGCAACTGCCCAGCAGGTATCCTTAAAGCAGCAATTCTCAAACGTTTCAGTCTTGGGGCCCTTTTACACTGTTAATCATGACTGAGAACCTCCAAGGAGCTTTGCTTATGTGGGTTATGCATATCCACACTTATCACATTCAAAATCAAAACTGAGGACATTTGGAAATCAAAGACTCAAGAAATACGCATGTCACATGGCCTCTGGAAGACTTCACAGTACCCTCAGAAGAGAATGAAAGTGAAAAAATTAAATATTAGTGTTATCATGAAAATAGTTTTAAAAAATGACTCCATGGATTCAAAGATCTTGGGGGGACTTCCAGTGGTCCCTGGGCCACACTTTGAGAACTGCTATCTTAGGTCTCTAAAGGTCAGAAAAATAAGCCGAATTTAGACAAGGAGTATGGTGTTTAAATTTATGTAGAAAGTATCATAAGTTTGGCAATGTATGAGCATTTTGAACACATTTTTACAGAAGCATTAAAGCATACAAGCAGACCAGGATGTGTCAGCTATAAAAAATAGAAAGTCCTAGAAAACAGGGTAAGAATATTTACATTTGCTGACTAATGGCTAAAATAATCTGTATAAGAATGAAATAACTTTTGAAAAGCAATGTAAACACTCAAATTATAGCTGTTGTCCTCAGAAAGAAGTAGAAGGCTGTCGGGCTTAGATTAAAATGGCTAGCTTCCATATAATCCAGTAGTGAAGTGGTCATGTTTTCTGTCAGTCCAATAAAACACAGAGAAACATTGGCAGTAACAGAAAAATCTCAGTTTCATAAGCAAACTGTGTATCTGAATCAGGTATCCTTTCCCATGGCCCAACTAATATCCATGATTCACTGGCCTCTATGTAGATTGAAATCTGTGTAAAATCTGCTTATAAGTACATAAGGAAATGAAGCTCAGAGCTCTATTAAAAAACAGTAGTTATCTGTCAAGTATGTGGTGCAAACCGTTTGAGAGCCAAGATTCCAGAGTAGAGATGTAAGCAGTGATTATAGTTATTTACATGATTGAAAAAGGAGGACGTAGAATGCTAACCACTAAAAGAAGCATCTAATGCCACTAAATATAGAACACCTTACACGGCTTGACGCGTCTCAGCAAGCATGTCCTCCCTGCAGCACAATGCTAAGACCTTAGTGGATCATTCTCGGACTTCTCCTGCTTTTTATTGACATCAATTACCTTGCAGGTTATTGATACAGATGCACAAAATCAAACTTGGAAATACTCAATACCAAATCAAATAAAAAAGCCTTCCCCAAACGCTGAAAGGGTGGAGAAGCATGGTAAGACGTGTTTTTTGGGGAAATCTTAGTATTTTAGATAACAGCTGTTAATGGCGCAGGCCCTGCGACAGCTCTGCTTCTGGCCAGCAGACTGAGCAAGTCTATCTTGTGTTCCCATGGCCCCTTCTGTGCCATGCGGATAAAGAGCCACCCTCCTGTGGCTGTTATGATTAGTAAATGAGACTACAGCTGTTACCTGTCTAGCAAAACACTGGTCACAATAAATGTTAGCGCCTATATTCAAAAGGCCATGAAGGAGACATAACGCTGGCACGACTATAAGCAAAAACAGTAATAATGAAGCAGAAAGTGAGACTGATCTATACAGCAAATGATGTATTCCATAAGGTTGCTTTTACGCTGAATGGTACAAAAATGACTGACTGCTAGCAGTGCTATCACCCATCTGGGCCCATCGGAGAGAAAGGGGCATCTTGTAGATACAGTACTTAGCTTCCAAGTTCATCATATCTGTACTTTCATCTCTCTTCTATTCTATTACTGTACTCACTTTCCTTTCCTTCCCGTGACTTAAAAGGCAGAAATGAGACGGGGGCAAACCAATGAGACCTGTTTGCACCTTGACAATCGTCTTTTTCTGCCTTGCTTTATGCTGCAGTGTACCCACAGTGAGCCATTTAGTGGGGCTGAGCCATGGTGCCCCCATAGCAGGTCATGTTAGAGGGGATGGCAGAGGCAGAGGGGCCTAACAGGGAAACACGGAAGTCTGGGGCTTGCATCCCAAGCCTTCCACTTAGTGATATTAATACATCCTCGCCCAAGTGCCAACCTTTATGCACCTCAGTTTCTTCATCTGTAAAATGGGGAGAAGCAGCACTAACTTCAAAAGGTTGTTGTGAGAACGAACTGAATAATGTATTTGAAAGCATTTCATAAACTTCAATTACGGGAGGCGGGGCAGGCAGTCCCTACCACAGCATGACCAGAATAGGACCGCTCCTGGGAGCCCAGGAGACCTGGAAGTAAGATGCCAAAGTCTGGTTTCATAATCAGTGCCTACACCCATGAGAAGATTGATTCTTATACAAAAATACTAAGGCTGATTAACGGAGTCAAGTCAATTTTAGCACCTTAGAAAATAATCGTTTAGTAAACCAATGACAGCTGCTAAAACTCCGTATTCTTCACTCCGTCGTAGGCAGCCTGCATGTAAGTGTGTGTTTTCCTTGTGCATAAGCTAGGCTGCTTGAGGTTCAAGAAACTGAAATTGAGAGAGACCAAAGCGGAATAGCATTTGCCCACAGTGAAAAAAGTAGGCATGCTGGGAGTGTTTGTTTCAATTTACATGTGGCAACACTTCAAACAAAAGATCCCATCGGTGGCGCATAGATTCTAAGATGGCCCCCAGTGATCCCACCTCCTGGGGCTCAAGCTGATGTCATCTGCTCCTGTTACGTGTGGGCAGGACCTGTGATTTAGTTCTAACCAATACAAATGGCAATGGCAGCCGAGTGCAGTGACTCACGCCTGTAATCCCAACACTTTGGGAGGCCGAGGCGGGTGGATAACCTGAGGTCAGGCGTTTGAGACCAGCCTGACCAACATGGTGAAACCCTGTCTCTACAAAAATTAGCCAGGTGTGGTAGCGCATGCCTGTAATCCCAGCTACCAGGGAGGCTGAGGCAGGAGAATCACTTGAACCCAGGAGGCAGAGGTTGCAGTGAGCCAAGATGGTGCCACTGCACTCCAGCCTGGACAACAGAGAGAGACTCTCTCTCAAAAAAAAAAAAAAAAGAAAAGAAAAGAAAGAAATGGCAATCACTACTGGATGTCACTTTCATGAATCAACTGCATAAGGTTCTGACTTCCATCCTGCCAGCAGATTCTCTCTCTAGACTTTCTCTCTCACTGGCTTTGATGAACAAGCTGCCATGCTGTGAGCTGCCCTGTGGAGAAGCCCACGTGGCAAAGAACTGAGGCCCTTGGTCCAACAGCCAGTGAGCGACTCACTCCTGCCAACCACAGGAGCCTGGAAATGGATCTGTCCCTAGTCAAGGTTCAGATGAGACCCCCACCCTGGCTGACACCTGGTGGTGGCTTTAGGAAAGACCTGGAATGAAGCACAGGACTCAGCTCAGCTGCGACCGGATTTCCAGCCCACAGACGCTATGTGATAATAAAAATGTTGTTTTAGGCAGCTCGGGTGATGTTCATTCTTCACATGGCTATAGATAACTAATACACCAGTCAAGCACCAAATAAAGCCAAGTCTGGAAAGCACATTTATATTTTTTCCTATTAAGAATAACTCTTCGTCTGGGCACGGTGGCTCACACCTATAATCCCAACACTTTGGGAGGCTGAAGCAGGCGGTTCACTTGAGGTCAGGAGTTTGAGACCAGCCTGGCCAACATGGTGAAACCCCATCTGTATTAAAAATACAAAAATGGCTGGGTGCGGTGGCTCACACCTGTAATCCCAGCACTTTGGGAGGCCGAGGCGGGTGGATCACGAGGTCAAGAGATCAAGACCATCCTGGTCAACATGGTGAAACCCTGTCTCTACTAAAACTACAAAAAATTAGCTGGGCATGGTGGCGCGTGCCTGTAATCCCAGCTACTCAGGAGGCTGAGGCAGGAGAATTGCCTGAACCCAGGAGGCGGAGGTTGCGGTGAGCCGAGATTGTGCCATTGCACTCCAGCCTGGGTAACAAGAGCGAAACTCCGACTCAAAAAAAAAAAAAAAAAAAAA